CAGTCCATTCCAGCTGTTTGAACGCATAAACCAGTGAAGCAGTACTTACTGTGGTCTTGGCAAGGCTTTACTCAAAATTCATTTTACAAAGACAGTAATCATGGCTGCGATTTCTGTTCTGCTCTTATGGAATATAAATTGTCAAGCTGTCTTCTGACAAGTACAGGTTTTGTTCCCTCCACCCCAAGTAATTTGGTTCCATCAACCCAGCAAATTAATCTTGTATAGTTTTGCCTTCTGATGAAATGCAGTAACAAATAAGATTGCTTCAACATACCAGGACTATTTTAAATGTATCCACCAGTTCAAATCAGGAGATGGTTCTCATATTGTATTCCCGGAGTAGCTTTGGATTTGTTAGTATTTGTATAGCAGCACAGGTATGCAAAGTTCCTTGCAGATGAGAAAAAGCATGTTGCTTACTAATATGTACTGAGCTTCACTGAATGTAGTAACTTTGGTTTTAAGCATGTTTAGGTCAGTGTGGAGACTCCAGTAAAATTATTTTTTTTTCTTTTTTGCCAGATTCTAGCTTTTGATGCTTTATGCTTATGGCATTTTTTAGGCCTGTAACTTGGTGTACATTTGGAAAATGTGCAGGGCAAGACTTCCATACAAGATAATTAATTTTAAGTACCTCATTCTCCAAAGCGGGGTGCATGTCTTAAAAGCAATCACATCTTTTGAGGTACTGAATAATTTCAGCATCCCATTCTGGTTTCAAAACAATGTAGGGATATGGTTGTAGCAATAGAAATAGTTTCTCTAGAAGGGTATGAGTGATTTTTGGTTTAAATAGAAATGTATTTCCAGCCCAAACAACAGCACTGCATTTGTAATTAATCAGTGCCTAAAACCAAGAGCCTTGCCAGCTTGGCGAGGTAGCACACATGAGATCAGGGACAGAGTTTTTTCTCTGTAGGACACCAGGACTGGAAACCTACAGAGGTAGCTTACGCAAATGCCGGGTGGGAAAAGGGAGCTGAAGAGCACTGATTGCTCAGAGGAAATTCAGTTCCGTCCAAGGAGCGAGGTGACTGTTCAGAAATACCCTGTCCCATGCTGCACAGCTCCTGACAGCTTTGGCTGCCTTGCAGCTCCCATTTAGCCAGGAGTCAGACTAGCATTTTGATGGAAACTCCGTGTTTCACCCACACCATCTGAGTGGTAGTTTGCGGTCTGTCTCAGCTCTGGATTTCTTTATGGGTCTCCAGGGAGGGAAGCAGTGGTGATGTCACAGGCTGACTGAAGCTTGAGGTTTGCATATGGAGAAAGCATGATCAGCCAAGTACATTTTAGTGCACAAATAGTTTTTTCTGGGGTAAGTTGTTATCCCTGTCAATGATTCCTTGCACAGAAGTTGTTTATACCTTTATTTGCCTTTGCTAGCTTTCTAACTTTTCTAACTCACTGCATCCTTTCTGAAGCAAATAACCAGATGGTCAGAGCTTATGTTATTCTAAGGACATAATAGGGATACATCAGAAAAATTAGTACCTATGTTCTTGCAATGCACAACAGCAAATCAACTATAATTAGTACAAAAGCTGCTACTGTATGTCTCTCCGTTGTGGCAACAAAAGCATCCGTTGATGCTTTGTCATCACTCCTGTCTGCCAGTTTGAGGAAGAAGGATGAGCTCGGGAACGGTGTGGGGCCAGCCAAAGCACAGCTTCATTTCAGCTCCCTGTGTTGCCTGTCTGGGAGGTGCACCAACAGATCCAGAGCAGGCTTTTTGGAAGCCTCAAGAGCTGGAGATCTAGAGGCTGTGAGATCTGGAGATCAGAGTCTTTGAGGCTCTACATCTTCTAAGCAAGAAACCGTTCAATGCAAATCAGCGTAACTGCTGAGTTCAGTGGGTTTGCATAGACCAGCCCCACCTGACAGTTTGGTCAAAGGTATGAAGGAAAATTTATCTCCAGGCTTTTACCTTCCTCTGCGTGTTATATCAAAGTGCCTTTGTCAGTGCAGAAGTACATATTCTTCATTAAAAGAGAGCTTTGCATGACAATTATGTAATAGTTTTTGTTTGCTTTCCTAATTGGAGAACATTTTGAAAGAGCAATAAAACACAATTTGTTCTCTCTTTCCAAAAGGAAACATCTCCTTTTGGAAAGAAGGAGGGAGTAAATTTGCATTATAATGAACAAATTCTTATGAGCGCATAGATCAGTGTTGACATAAAGGGTGAGTGAAATGAGATGTTCTTATATTGTGCTTTCCCCTCCCATTTCGTTCCCTCTCACACATATTTGCCTGTGCATGTGGCTGCTACTGAGTAAGGCAGTGGCTGTGCTCACAGTCACGACAGTAATACACCATAACTCATATAACAAAAATTCCTGTGAAAAGAATCGTTCTGCATCAGGGCTGCTTCATACACCTAAGCCCTTTCCCCAGCACGTACAGGCAATGAAGGCATGTGCAGTTTACTACTGCACCTCCTTGCTAGTTGGTTTTTATTCTTCTCTATTGGTTTTGTGATTTCCTAGTACTGTCGGGATACTGGCATGGACAGGCTGGGTAAGAGGGCTGTGATTTTGCTTCAGGTGTATGACTTACCTAGCAAAGCGTTTAAAAACACTGGGGAGGGTGTGAGGGTGTGAGTTAGACATGGAAGCTGTTGTCTCAGTTATTAGTCTGTCTTGCCCTTACTTTCTGGATGTTAACTGCTGTTGTCTAAATCTTTTCTCCTTCCGGAACCTCTCTCTTTGTAAGGAGTGGGTTCATTATTTTGTTTGAGAAGCTGAAAGTGACATTAACCCCCTGCCCAGCTGTTGTGGTGTCAGGGCTCCAGGCGAAATGGCATTTGTTTGGCTCCTACAGAAGTCATCCCAGCGACTGCCTGGAGAGTCTGGCTGCAAGTGAAATCCATATGCAATGCTTCTGTCAGCAAAGAATTGCTGGAAGACTTTATAATAAATATTCACATCTGCTCCTTTGGACACTCTAATCCATCCTACAGATCTTTGCTGTGTCAGGCTTTGTTCTAGACGAAGAAGCTGGGTAGTTATAAAGGTTTGCAAATAGGGCATATTTATCATGGTTAGTTCTACTTTCTAGTTCTCTTTCTTGCACAAATATCCATGACCACGCTAAGCATAACTTGTGATTAAATATTCTCAGCACATTTGTAAGATCTTTTTGGCTGTATGTTTCCTTGGATAAATGGAGAAAAGGGCAGTTGTTTACTTCCCAGGCTGCCAAATGAAATCATCAGATCTCAATGAGCAGAGCAGAGCACATCATTGTTAAGAATTGCTTTGAATGGAGGGACAATATATTCCCTGGATATATTCCCTGTACATGACATAGGCACACCCAAGGCCCTACGGCTTGTGCATCATTCAAACTGGGACAGATCACAGTATCACAGTATGCTAGAGATTGGAAGGGACCTCAAAAGATCATCTAGTCCAATCCCCCTGCCGGAGCAGGAACACCTAGATAATGTTACACAGGAATGTGTCCAGGCGGGTTTTGAATGTCTCCAGGGAAGGAGACTCCACAACCTCTGAGATTCCTCCATGCTAACTTCTGTTGGCAATAGGTTCCCATTGGGTACTTGGTGAATAATCTGAATGACTAAAAATAGCAAATAACTTCAGTTTTTCATAATCTTAAAAAAAATGACATCGGTGCCAGACTGACTTTGTCAAAGTCGATACTAATTATTCCTCTGCTGGCTATGACTTTGCTTTCAGAGAGAAAATCCTGATACATATAAAAAGAGCTGTAATCATTTGGAGGGTATACTGAACTTGCTCCGAATAGGAAACGGTGTTTGACCAAGATGCAAGGATCCCATTGTTGGGAGGCCCACATCAGCCTTGAAATGAATGTATTGATCCTCTTTTTATTTATTTTTGTACATGAAACTCATGATTCCTGTAGTTAATTTCTAAAAGGAGAGACTCTTTAGCTGGTGGCTGGGCAAGTAAAAGGTGCTTTAAACATATCACTTACCAGCTTTTATTTAAGCAGGAAGATAATAAACTTATGAGCCTCCTTGAGTGATGGGGGTTGGAACTACATGATCTTAAGGTCCTTTCCAACCCTAATCATTCTATAATTTTATGAAAATTGAGTCCATTTGGTTCATAAATAAACATATGGGCACTCCTTAGAAACTTTTTTAGGTTTTCTTTAATTTTTTTCTACTGTTAGCCCGAATTCTATATTAACAGTTTTATTAGCCTCATTTTCCTTAAGGGTGTAAGGGAACAAGGCACTCAGTTCAGCTAGATTGAATCGTAGACTCATAGAATCAGCTAGGTTGGAAAAGACCTTTAAGATCATCAAGTCCAACCAGATACCTGACATCCTTGACACCTGGTTAAAAACCCACATTGAAGATGTTCCTGCTCATTGCAGTGAGGTTGAACTAGATGACCTTTGGAGGTCCCTTCCAACCCAAAACATTCTATGATTCTGTGATCTTCATTTCTTACAGACCTGTACAAGAAAAGCAGTATTAAGAGCACAGTGATGCTAATACCTCCAAGTATCTGAACAGCATCTACTTCTCTTGTGCTCAGTCTCTGGTTCAGAATCTGGGCCTGAATAATTGTATCCAAATACAAGGAAAATAGCTGTGCTCCTAATGAGTAGCATGCTGGGGTTTCCAGATTCACTTAATCACTCCAAAATCCAATCTCATCTTTATTGATCTGTCCAACTCTCCGATAATTTATCTCAGACAACAGGAGCGTGCATGGACATCTTTAAAACGATGATCTCAAAACTCCCAGCACCGTTGTCTTGCTTTGCTTTTGCAAGCCTCGATAACCTTCCCCTGAATTTCAGGTCAGGTCGTGGCTCTGGCGAGCGGCGATGGATCCGTTAAGGTTCTGCAAGTTGCATCTGGGCAGCAATCCAGCCTGCGGGGCCACAGCAGCGAAGTGCACAGCGTTGGCTTCCATCACCGGGCAAGGCTGCTGCTCTCCGGGGGTGCTGACGGTAAGGTTTGTCTCTGGAAATGAGGACCAGCACGCTGCTGAACCTAACCTTAATCTCATGGGAAAAAACGGTTCGACAAGAGAGCAGTGAGGGCTTAGTAAATTGTATTCATAGTTAATGTGTGCAGTGGGAATAACAGCCCGAAAGGAGTATTATTCTGTATTTTATCCAAATAAAAAAAAACAATTTCTCCCTCTTTCTGTTGACATTCTTGTTTTTTTTCCGAACATCAAGACTCTCTCTTGGTCCTTCCTGGAGAAACAGCTTTACAATGACGCCTAATGACAGAGCAGCCGAACTGCAAGGAGATTGATTCTTAATGTAGCACCACACGCGACACCAGAGCCGGGCGCACCTTCCGCGGTGCCAGCCTCGGGGAAGATGTGAAGTTTTAATTATGCAGACAGAGCGGGGGTGCGGCGCTCCCCCCGCAGCACAAGCTCCGGACGCCGGCAGCTGCGAGCAGGACTTGGGGCGAGCGGCGGCGGGGAGCGGCGGAAATACCGCCGCCCGCCCGCGGGCACAGCGGCCATGGCGCGCCCGCGGGCCTGAGCGCTCCGCAGACGGATTTATTTATGTTTCGTCCCCCTCTTCCCTCTTTTCCCCCCCCTTCTTTTCCTACCACAATTATAATTCATTCCAATAATAAGAGGCGGGAGCGCGGAGCGGCGCAGTCCGCAGCGGGCATGCCCGGCCCCCGGCCCGGGAAGTCCCCGCAGGGGAGCGGGGGCTGCCCGCCCGCCGGCCGCGGGGCTCCTCTGCCGCCCCTCTGTCGCCTGCCCACAGCATAACCAGCCCCCTTTCCCCCCCCTCCTTCCCTCGCCGTGGCAAATCTTGGAGCGCAAGAGATCCGCTGGGCATAGGGAGGGGATATATAGATGTATATGGGGTTTTTTTTTTCTCTTCTCCCCCACCCCCCCGGTCCTTCCCCCTCTCCAAGACCTGAGGAAATCCAGCCCAAGTTCGCCGCGATGACTGTGCTGCTGGCATCGGGGTTTCTCCGCGGCATCCCAGCCTCTGGACCGCCTCGCCGCTGCTCGCTTTGAATCTTGAACACTGGGTTAAAGCTTAATTCTCATGTTGTGGTTGCTGGGCTGCTGCTTTCCCGTGTTTTGCAATGGGAGGTGGAGGAAAAGGGCTTGTCCGTGAGTCAACACTGAAAATGTGATTAGGACGAACTGCTTTTACTAATCTGTTTCTAACCTTTTAGTCCATGTTGGCCTGTGACCCCTTTCAGCTTTCAGATCGAGCCTGATTAGGTAAGTGTAAATTATTCACTTGGGGTGAGGGAAGGCGGGTGGAAATGTTTTACTCAGAGACTTGCCTACGATGCTGGCCTCTCTCATGATGAGAAATGATAAGAAAGTTCAGCTATAAACTCATTCCAAGATGAGCAGCGTTTGTTTACTTGTTGAAATCTGCCTGTGCAAGACGTCTGCAGTCTGTCTGACGTCCAGGATCGCTGCTGAGCAGAGCCCTTGTGAGTTGCTGTGGGACAGCTCAGGTGCTGTAGCAAAATATGGTGGTGTTATTTATGATCTTTGGAGAACTTTTTAATATATATGGTATATATATGATTTGCAGAGCTTCCTCATCGAAACTTCAACAGATTCTCTCAATTGTTTCACATTTCCCCAGACATGAATTACTTCATTTGCTTCTGCTTTTTTTTTTTTTCCTTCTGAATGCCCCCCAGTCTGCAATGTTGCAGCCTACCTGTAGCATTTAGGTGGGTGAGATTCTCAACTCTGGAGATGATGCATAAAGCAGCCACATCTGCATGAAACACTTGATTCCCAAACAACATGCTACGATATTGCTGATAGTAGTAACAGGGTGCATAATCCTTGTGATGGAAGCATAGCTAGTACTTCAATTAATAAGATACCTTTTGAATTTGGTAAAGCTTGTGTAGTATCTGGTGTCTCCCTCTGTTGTGGCTTTGGAAAAACTGCTTTGTCAACAGGATCCCTTAGCTGCTTCTTTGAGATTAAACCTTCTTCCTCCTGCTGCTGCTTTTTTGCTTCAGTTAAGGGAGAATTAATTGCTGAACATCTGCAGTCCACCAAAAATCCCAATACATAAAAAGATCTCCCAGAAGGGTGGAAGGGGAGTATGTTTTTGCCTGCATGTGTGTAGTTTAGTGCATGTTTGTATATACTGTGTGTAGCTGTGTGTGCATGATACAGGAACGGAGCAACAGAAGGAATGCCACACTTCCAGCCAGTCCATTTTTGGTCTGTGCCAGGAGCTGCCTCCAGTGTTCCTTAATCCGCATAGCACTAGTATTTCATCTCATGTAAAAGTTTCCTCCAATACCTTGCGCAGCTCTCGTAGGAGAGGTCAGAAACCATTTTGATGCCGGGGCATCCCTGGCTGTTGGGTGTGCAGGTAGGATAGTGCATTGGTGGCAGTGAGGTGGCACCATGGGCAGCCATCAGTGCACTCACGACACACGTGCTGAGCCTTTGCCTGGAGATGACTCTCTCCCTCGGGGGCAGTGCAAAGCTCCTCTCCCACTATGGGTCAGTCCTCAGCTCGACTACTTCAGCAGAGCTCTCCAGGGTCAGACCATGCAGCATTGCTCCCAAAGTTTTAACAAGGCTCCAGCTTAATCAGGCAACACATTTCAGCAGCTACACGCATTACACTTAACATCTTGCTCGCTGCTTTTCTCTCTGGGAATGACATGCTGAATAATGGAGAAAGTGAATTATATCTTTGCTTCTGTTGGGATTATATGTACCTGCTAGAGGCTGGGCTGTGCTGGTAGCCCAGCTAGTCCCTTTTCCTCTTCAGAAATGCTGTATATAAAATTCCATGCTGTTCCACCGCTCATTGACCAAGTATAACCCAGCACCATCTTTCGTATTGGGGGCAGATCTACCTACAGATCATGCTTACCTCAACTCAGGTTTCCCACCTCAGTTTAATGAAGTGGGCAGTGCACCATACATAGCGCAGAGGAACAGTAGCCACAACATGCTTAAACTTGTGTTGAAATCAGAGCTGCCTGTCCCCCTAGAATTTCAGGCAGCTAGTTTAGTTTCTGGTGCATCACAAAATTGAGCTGAACAGTAAAAATAAGGTGATTCTGTGAGCCACCATTTCTATGAAGATATTTTGTGCACGTATGCTTAAAGGCATGTGTCTAATTTATGTATTCCGTATGCTTTATTTATTCTCTTTAACAACAACTGAGAAGAAGCTTAATTCAAAAGAATCAGTGGTGGTTATGTAGTTATGTGTAGTTTGAAAGCACTGATGTATTCTTGGATGCTGGTTGAAACTATGTCCTTTATAAGTCATTATTCATTAGAATTTTGAGAGTTTTCTCACTTAAAAATATCTGTTTGCAGACCACAACACTGGTCTCCCTATGGAAGCAGCTGTTTCCATCTGGCATTGAGATCCCATGGAGCAGCTGAGGAGGGGGATGGCTCTTCGTATCCATGATGCCTGGATGCTTCTTTTTGTAATCCCTGCTTTGGTCACCCCAGCTGCCATCAATCATGAAGACTACCCTGCTGATGAAGGGGACCAGACCTCCAGCAATGACAATCTGATCTTTGATGACTACCGAGGGAAGGGCTGTGTGGATGACAGTGGCTTTGTGTACAAACTGGGAGAACGTTTTTTCCCGGGGCATTCCAACTGTCCCTGTGTCTGTACTGAGGATGGACCTGTTTGTGATCAGCCAGAATGCCCTAAGATCCACCCAAAGTGTACAAAAGTGGAACACAACGGATGCTGTCCAGAATGCAAAGAAGTGAAAAACTTTTGTGAATATCATGGGAAAAATTACAAAATCTTGGAGGAATTTAAGGTATGAAACCCTTTCTTCAGTATTTTCTGTTAGTTTGCGCTAGGACTTGTATTTGTTTCTGTTGTGGACTCTCAAAGTCACTCTGTTTCCTTACAGCTGTTAATTAATGCTAAAGCTGAAGTCCTTTTTAGCTGTGATGCAGGTCTGGCTAATGTAAAAGCTGCCACCTCCCCCCTTATGTGCACTCACTGAGGGCTAGTGGTCATTCAGAAGCTCCCATGTGAAATGCCAGCCCTCTGAAGCTGCTATTCTGAACAACCTCCTTCTTTGTTCATAGTATGAATCAAGTTGGACTACCAATGGGGTTGGTAAAAGAGGTGGTAAACCAGTACTGAGTGCTTTTTAAGAGCCCCTTTTCCAGTTTGGATAGCAAAATCTGACGGCATGGTACTGAGAGCTGTTACTCGTAACTGTATGAGAATGCAAGTAAGTAGATCAAAATCTATACTTAATATTTTCAGTTCAACTGTGATAAAGCTGTCTAGAATGGCGGAAGATCAATTCCTAGGCAGATGACCATATCAAGTAATGATAAGTATGGGGTTTAATTGTAATGGTTCAGTTCCCATTAGGAAAGTTGTTAGGAAATCCTTCTGGAATATATCTTCAAAATAAGACCAGATTTTCAAAAACCCATTACCCTTTACACAACCTGCATCTCTCATTCTAATGAGTTTGATTGCATGTTTTCAATTCTCCTAAGGAAAATAGCATTTCACAATGAAGAACGGAGTCTTTAAAGGCAATAACTATACACAAGTTTGTTCTCCCAGGTCACGTGGCTTTTAAGATTTGTGCCCCCATAGTTAACAACAGCCTGTAACTTTTCATGGCTGTACGCCTGATCTCATTATGCACTTGCCAATTTATTCTCTTTTCTGACAATGAAAGTACTTCCACGGAGGTCTGTGTATTACAAAAGCTCTTGGTGACATAGGTCTCAATTTCCTTTTTCCCAGATACTGTAATTTTCAGTGAAGGTAGTATTTAGTTCCTTCCCCTTTTGTCATATGTAGTTTATGTTCATCTTTTTCTGTCCATCTGCAAATGCAGTTTCTTAGTATGGGCAAGACAGTTCAGTGTCATAGGCACAAGCCTAAACAAATATATGAGGAGCATCTCCTTTAGGGCCATCCTGATCAACCCGTTCTCTGCTCTGCTGAGGAATGTGAAGATGTTGATCTTGTGAAGTGCTTAAATAACACTTTCTTCTTGCCCTAGGGAGGCCTATCCCAGCTTCATCCCAAGATCAGTGGGATCAAGTTCAGTGATCCCATTTTGAGTGCTGAGTTGTCAGGTGGTAAAGTATCCCACCTAGGTGCAATTCTGATATATGGTCAGGTTCTTAAATGAGAGTTGTAAGGACTGTTTTGGAGAGATTTTAGAAAGGAGAAATGTATAAGGACCCTTTCCAGAGAGATTCCAGAGGGAAAACAATGAGATGGATCTTCTCATTAAAATATCTTTTGCATGTGAATGAAGTACTGATCACTTTTCCTGAAAGAAATAATTGCACTCTGATAATGGATTGAAGGGTAGAGAAACATATTTTAGGGGAGAAAGGCTGTTAGAGCAGTCTGGTTTATTGTTTGCTGTGTCCAAAACCTGTGGGTTGAAAAGTGAAATTCCAGTATCTTCCAAGAAGCGCAGAGTAGATGGTGGCACACCACTCACACACTCACCACTCATACACACGGTAGCCTATTCCAGGCTGTGAGATCCTTCACTTAGTTTACTTGACTGTCAAGCTTTTGACCTGAAACTGTGTTTTGCTGAGAGCTCAATACCCTGTGGAGTAGGGCAGAAATGGTTTGGGTTGTTTTTTTGTTTTTAATCTATGTTTTTACATAGGATAAGTAGTGAAATTCTTTTTTGCTTCTAAGTAGAAGAGATTCAGGCAATGGAGGATTACTGTGCACTTTCAGGAGTGTTTGAGGGGGAAAAAGGAGCACCTCTGAGCTATGACTTCATAAACCCTATGGGAAAGACAGAACTTCTGGGTTCAAGAAACTGCTGCTATGAAGGGGAAATCTTTAGTTCATTGAAGCATCCAAGCATTTTTGACTGTTTACTTCGCAGAACAAAGATTTTCACCTGCTGTCTCCGCAGATGACATTCTGAGCAGTTTACAGGTTTTACAGGCTCCAAGCTCTGTTCTTCCCTCATCCTGTTGAATTTATAAGGTCTGCAAACTTTCTCAAGTCCATTCCACACACACTGAAGTTGAAGAGGGGCTTGCTGCAGTCATTCTAGCTCAAACCCAGACTGTTTTCAGTTAGAAGGGAGGCACTGTTTTATGTGGGCTTGTAACGCTTTCACCCACTTGATTTACTTTTTCTAATATGTAGGTTCCAAATCATCATCCACAGAAGTGCTTGTCACTGCTTAGTTACAGCTGAAATAAGCCTCCATTTAAAAACCTTTTGCAAGTGTGAATCTATGTGTGTGCCAGGACTTGTTCAGCCTGGAGAAAAGAAGGCTCTAGGGAGACCTTAGAGCAGCTCCCAGTGCTACAAGAAACCTGGAGAGGGGCTTTGAACAAGGACCTGTAGGGACAGGACAAGGGGAATGGCTTTAACCTGCCAGAACACAGGAGATTGAGATGAGCTCTTAGGCAGAAGCTCTTCCCTGTGAGGGTGCTGAGGCGCTGGCACAGGGTGCCCAGAGAAGCTGTGGCTGCCCCAACCCTGGCAGTGTTCAAAGCCAGGCTGGATGGGGCTTGGAGCAACCTGCTCTAGTGGAAGGCGTCCCTGCCCATGGCAGGGGGCTGGAACTGGATGAGCTTTGAGGTCCCTTCCAACCCAAACCAGTCTGGGATTCTGACTGACTCATCTTGTAGAAATTTCAACTGCCTTATCTTTCACAAATTAGGATTTTCTTCTTTTTTCTTTTTTTTTTCTTTTTTTTTTTCACTAGGAAATTTTCTTCCCTAGGGTATCAAAATCTGTGAGAGGTTTACATTTAGGAAAATTTTCATGCCTGGTTTCTAGGTTTCTGCTTAGGTTTGCGGTGAGAAATCCAAATGCAATTTAATGTAGTGTTTTTTCCTTAACATTGGCAGTAACTGTGAGTATCTTGATACAGTAGTAGTTACAAAGGTCCATTTCTTGAATATTTAGCTTTCTTCTAGTGAACTGATCTTGTACCTTGGATTTGTTTTGACTCGTAACAATTGTTAAGTGCAAAATACAAACATCAACAAGCCATCTAGTTGAGACAGCTGTCCTAATGTGTATTCTTGTGCCCCTAAATCCTTATCAGGTATAAATAAAATGCTGAAATGAAGTTCACTTATAAATCTAAAGCCATTAGTAGTTTTTCTTGTATACTTCTGTAAAATCTTGTGTTCCTTACAGATGATTTAGTAACTCCATGTAGCATCTTCAAGCTCTGCTGTGGGTCCTGGGAAATCATTATGGGTTTGGGGCCCCAGCTGCCCATACAGAGAGTGCCTTATCCCCTTGGTTTGACTGGGATTTAACCCCAACTTTGGCTGAGGCTGTGGTTCCACATAGAAACCCCTGCAGAAAAGGTCATCACAGTCTCTGAGGTGAATCAAGATCTGACTCAAGTATGTCTAATACATAGAACAGTGTTCAGGATTATGATTCCTGTGGAGCAGTATGCTGGAGAAAGGAGAAGTCTGGTGACTTTTGCTGGCATCCATCTATCTCTTTTCTCTCTCATTTTCCACTTCTCTCCTCGTTGACCTCAAATCTGGTCTCTTTCATCTCCTCTGGCAATCTCAGAGGCAAACACAAATGTGATGCTTGGCTGTGGTGGCTGCAAGGGAAGATGTGGAGGATGCTGCAAGTCTCAGGCAGTCTCTCTGTTTTCTCCCGAGAGATCGGGCAGGGATTCTCAGGGTCACTTAGCAGCTTGCTTTTTCTCCCACACAGGAGCTGTGTTTTGATTTCAGTCGTGGCAGTTGAGGTCTGAGTCCCAAATGCTCTGCACTCGCCTGTACTAGCAGAGATCTTTCAAGCAGGTTGTTAACCCTCCCCTTTCTTCCCAGAGAGAGAAGACAAGCAAATACCAACTCAAAGAGCAGTCTCAGGTATTGTTAAGTCCACATGGTTGTGTTTTAAATGAATGTTCCCAGGCAGCAGCTTATATGAATTTAAGGGGACGGTGTACCACCAGCATGATGGGTGTTCATTGGCAGCTTATGGAGGAGAAGTGCAAATGTCCGTGAGACAACATTTTTCCTAAGTGCTGATTGGTTTTCACTCTCCTGCATAACTTGCTGACAGAAAAGCACACACCTACCCACATTAGAGAAATGCAGTTTACAGTGTGGTTAAGAAGTATTTGTAGCCACAGTTAGAAGCCATTTGAAGAGGGGTTTTGGGTGACATGGTCTAGTGTGGGGTGTCCCTGCCCATGGCAGCCCCCTGCCATTGGAACTAGGTGATCTTAAGGTCCTTTCCAACCCTAACTATTCTATGATTAGGCTGTCAGTTGGAAAACTCCATAATCACTTCCAAATTTCCCAGATCTCTCACCACCCAATATAGGCATATCCAGAATAATTTTCTATGGACCTATGTCAATCTGTAGCAAAATACCCTCACTGGGAAATGAATGATGAGTTCACAAGAGATTTTCAAGCTAACGTCTTGAAACATTCTCTTCATTGGAGACCTTACAGACAGGAACTGCTCCCTTTTCCTTCAGGAGAGCAAGTCCTGGTGATGTGGGGTTTGGTAGCATGGTGCCATCCTTCTCAAAGTCAATGGCAAAAATTTTCTAGGCATTAAAATACCTCCGTTCGCCAGGCAGGACGTTGGGTGTGTTATCCTTTGGGTGATAATGCAAGAGTCTTTGGCATTACAACTTGGCTTCCTGGTAGTATTCAGGAGAGAAGATCCGCTTCAACCTGAACTTGAGCTTGGAAACAGCTCTGAATATCAAGGACATTTTTTGAGTGCTCTTCAGTGGCCACCCTGCTTTCTACCAAGCATAGAGCTGCAATTTCTTCCAGCCTATGGCTCAGCCAG